GGATGGCTGTCTACCGTGCCGTAACGATGTTCTTCCCTTCCTATCATGTAAGCTTGTGATTATTATCAGGTACTGTATAGCATCAGCTGCAGTAGCACGAGGTTGGGCTAATTATGTACAATGCTTCATACGTGCTGCATTTGGTGTAATACTACCATCATGGATGTATGCTACACCTACTCAATATGGTATCATATCATTCTCCTTCCTAGCACCAACTCTATGCGCTATATGTAATACTATAAGCCTTATAGCCACAATACCATCCCTATTCTGTTAGGTACTCTCATATGTTTGTCGGGTGTAAAGGAGAGTGCTACCTTCAGCTTTACTATGGCATGCCTTAATGTTGCCTTGTTGCTAACCTTTTCTCTTTATGGATCATATATGTACTACTCTTATCATCATCATTATTATTCTATTAATACCTACATCAGGTACGGGGACGTTGGTAATATGGATCCATTCACCCTCCCTAGTGATGTGGCAGTTGATGGGGTCGGAGGCTTTGCAGGGGTAATTCGTCTGTAGAGAGCAGCAGGTGTTGTTGCTGTAGTGAGGTGGTTAGTAGGTACTACGTGGATCTGGCCTAGCCTTCTTTTGCTGTGTTGGCTGGGATGCTGTATGTACATTGAGTGAGGAGGTTAGGAATCCTAAAAGGGATATACCATGGGGCATTATGGGTATTACTTCTATTATACAATAGCTCCTCCTGTGCAAATCACTTCCATCATCATTATCATCACCAGGCACACTACTTATCGTAGCACTATTGTACTCTATGCTATGTATTACCTTATGCCTCATGGTCCCGATAGAGAGCATCGATTTGGATGCACCATTAGCTACAGCATTCCAGTAATATACTACTTCCATCTATTAACATCATGTTATTCATGATAGATACCATCATGACAACTGGGGTTATATTATAACATCTCTGGCAGCTACAACCGTCTGTACTACTATTACTATAACTCGACTGTTCGATGGTCATCATCATAAGGTACTCCAAGTGTTATGAGTGGTATAGTAGGACAGCCTCGTATCTGGTATAGAATGGCTTTGGATGGCCTACTCTTCAAACCCCTAGCCAAACTTAGTGCCCAAGATGTGCCTGTTGTGGGTAGTAGGGCTTATCATCATCATCATCACCCCTCATACATTATGTCGTCATACTACTTACAGGCACTACCATATGTGGTATTATTGCGACCCTACTATCAGCCGTGTGCGATTTTGAGCCCTTAGCTGGAATGACCAGTTTTAGTGAGTGAAAGCCGTTGTATTGATCGTAGTAGCCCCTTATTTGGGATAGGTACATTGGCTATGTTCACGCTGGTTAATGGTGGTATTATATTGACCCGAGCTGAGGATAATTCTGTGAGAGATAGTAGTCATCATCATCATCCTTCTATCTCAACGACCAACATCACCTACTCCATCTCTCTTTTTGTAAGTCCTCCTCTACTCCCTTACTTTACGTTATGGCCTTGTAGTTCATCCTATCGATTGCCTTCCACTACGTTGCCCTGCTCCATGGCTTCCTCACATGTTCGGGCATAGCCCTGGCAGCGCTCAACCTTGCCAGTTTAGCTTGGCTACTCTACGCCTATTATGCTGCTATCGCACCCTATGTCAATAAGAGTAACATCGATGGGTACGTACACTCCTCCAACATCATCATATACACGACAATCATCCTTCCTCAGACATAGTGAGCCCCTCCTCGTCGGTAATCAAAGAGATAAGGAAGATACAGGTAACACCCCACCGTATCATTAGCGTATGTACACTCAATCCCCCCTTTCAGCCGAAGATGATAACCATTTCCGTTGCCCCTGGGTGCCTATCCTACCCGCTGTCGCGATATGGGTTAACTGCTATTTGATGGCCTCTCTAGGTCTTCAGGCTCTGATCATGGTCACTGTCTGGCTCGTAGGTTTCCTATTTTAAGTTTATCTCTCTCATGTTTTGCATTAGATTCTCGGCATCGTAGTGTATCTAACCTATGGTGCGAGGCATAGTAAGCTGAACTGATTGATTACCATTCCCAACCGTAAGGATGATAATATGCTTCGACGAAGGGATGGTGAAGCAGTGTTCTATACTGCCAAGGGACTGCTTGTCAGAGCATCATGCAAGTGGGTACATCTCTGCAGTTTCTACAAGTACTAACTACATCGAGCCTTATGTATATCTATAACAACTCTATTACGCTCACTATCATCTGCTACAGTTCTGGTGTCCATACAGCTAATTCTGTTACAACACACTATGTAGCTACCATCTATCGTACTGTCGTTTTCGTATGAAATCTCGATCGTTATTGCAGAAAGGTGCCTCCTCTCGCTTTGATATGCCTAATTGTCGAGTT